AAAACGTAAAAGAAATAGCCAAAACTTTGGTGTTTCCAAAATGGAAACAAGAAGAAAACCCCTCGCGTTTGTTTCAAAATATTTCCCTAATGGAAAACCTAAAAGAACTTTATGTTAAATATTTTATTTCGAAATTTGTGTGAAAAAACATAAAGGGTTTTTCCTAAAATGGAAAGAAATATATAAGCTACTGATGGCATTATTCCCATAAGTTTTAACAAGCTTTACACGTTTACAGAAACATTAGTATTTTGAGGTCCTCAAATTGAAATTGCGATATTCAAATTCAACACTTTTTTTTTACTATTGCCAATTTTACAAAATAAAGTAACTTTCAAACCAAAAAATGTGATAATCATACATTGCTCAAATTTATACTTTGATGAGGAGGAGGCCGATGATGGACTAGTTTCACGATTTTTATTTTAACTAAAAACATCATTTCAAGTTTCACACTCCAAACTTGAAAATGATGCGACACTTGACACTCATATTATCCAAAAGCCTACTAGTGACTACTTGACTTGACTCATCTAGTTTATTTTCCAAATGCCATTTTTGGAAGGACTGTGTATGTACCCCATGAAAATACAAAACATATTTCCAAGGATTTATTACAGGAAACTGAATATAACTGTTAATTAGGTTTATGATTTCAATTCCCGTATAGTTAAACTGCAAGACTTGATTTTATAGCAGATCCTGACAATTGTGATGGATAAACAAAAGATACTTTTATACATGTTATCATATAATGTTATGTGAATATTAAACTTAATCGTATACCTGTAGGCACTGCTTGTAAAGATCATTAGGTACTGTACAAATGCATTGAGTTTTGTCAAAATAACAATATTTCGAATGTAATACATGTACATGTATAGTTGATGAAGAGATTAACTCACTGTATCTACTAAAAATTGCAGTAGATTAGACATTGTGATGTAGTGTAAAAATGTTCAAATCATTTAAAAAATACTTCATGTCTGTTGTCCATTTACTCTTTAAAATGACAGATATATGCTTTAGAAATTATACAAGCAGTCAACAGAACTAAAAAAAAAATAATACAGGTCTAGACTATGTTTAAGTTTGTAACAATATACATGAATTCTAGTACATAAACAATGTCATGTTTTGTCCCGAATTGTTCAATTACGTCTCTTTCTTTATGCTTCATGAAGGAGAAACCACAAGAGTACTATGCAACAATATACCTGTATTCAAGAAGTATTCTAAATCAGATGTGGATTTTTAAGAATAACAAAGGATATTTTTGATTATTTGAAATCACAAGATTAACCAAAATTATCAGCTTAAAAACTTGCGATTTTCAACTTAATACATAACCATTCCGCTAGAAAAATTACAGTGTGATGTCACTGGCATCTGCTTTTTCTTTAAAAATGGAACTTGTCATTGGTCATTTACAAAAACATTCTTATTGTACAAGTAGACTGTACACACAAGTATTCTGAAGTCGACATCAAAATGATGCTTGAGTTTCCGATTGACAATATCTATGTTGTTTCGGAAACCAGGTCCTTCAACAATCTATTGGAATTCCCATGGGTACCTATTGCGCCCCGTTGTTGGCAGTCTTATTTTTGTATTCATATGAAGCAGATTTATGTAAAATCTCATGCGTGAAAAGGGGAAAACACTTGCTGTGGCCTTTTTCTCGACTTTTAGGTATATCGACGACGTATTATCAATTAACAATGGTGATTTTTATACCTATGTCGATACGATATATCCTGATGAGCCTGAGATAAAAATACCACAGAATCTGACACAACTGTTTCATACTTGGATATTTTACTTGAAAAGAACGTTACTGGTAATCTAACACCGAACTCTTTGATGAACGGATGACTTTAATATTTCTATCGTCAACTTCATGGATCAAGATATTAACAAGGTCATCCTCTGCTACTCCTGGGTCAATGAAACACTACTGCCTGTAACTGAAGACAGGTTAGGAACTCAAGTATGGGGAAGTTAGATCCTGAGCGGATTTTGGTTCTGTCCTTTATTTATAAAATTCTGCATAATTTTTACGTTCTAACAATAAGTCTGAATTCGTGATCAAATCCATTCAAGCATCTACAGAATTAAGCTAGGTACTATATTTTGTGCCAGAAGGTTTTTTAGAAGAAAATGATCAGTTTTTTACCTTATGGGCTATAGCAGTACATATTTTAGATTCCTGTTTTTCCATGCTGGTTGCACACCAAGCTGTTTTTGCAGTGAAAAGTGTTATCCTGGTTCGGAAATATCTTTAAATTATTTCTTATTAATTCTTTTAACGAAGAGTGACAAATAAGTATATTCTGAAAATCCGGGGGGGGGGGGGGGGGAATTTAGCCAATTTTAATATCTAAAAATTTACATCTCATACTCTACAAATATGAGGTTCTTTTCTTTATATTAAAGATAGCTTTGACCTATTTGCTTAAATTCAACAAAATGTTTACGACTTCAAAATAATTTTCTTTTGCTTATTAAATTTTCAATGCAACAAAAATCACTTTATTAGTGCTGAAAAGTCAAATGATTGATTATGCCAAGTAAATTGAAACTTTTTCTTCGTCACAATTTTAAAGTGACTTTTTTTAGTAGACTTAGAATTCATTTTGTTTCATGCTTTAATTTGATAAAAATATTGTAGGGAAAACGTTGAAGATTTAATTTTTAATCAAACACAAATTTCAGTGCAAAAAAGTCATATTAAATGTACTGTAGTGCCAAAAGAAGCATATTGACCCCCTCCTTTTTTAAATTTTGTTCTATTCAGTGAAAAGAATTTAGAACTTTCAAAAATTCTTTATCTGATTTTTTTAATTTATTGAAATTAAATTTTCTAAAACGCAAATGTAAAGATTTGTTTAGTAATTTTCTATGTTTTAATAATTTCTTGATTTTGGCATTTCGACTGAACTGTACCAAAAATTCTGCTGTAAGAAGATATTTTCAGAGATCATCAAGCTTTCTCCCTTTAGGTTTATGGAATGTTTTTCCACATCTGCACCAGGCAGGAGAAGATTTGCTGTCAGGATTTTGGAACCCCGATGGTCACCCACCTCCTTACAAAAAACAGAATGAGACTGAGGGTTATTTGACGTTGACTTGACGTAAGTTAACTAGTTGTTTTAGATAAAAAATTAACTAGAAATATGTCCATAGGACATATGAAATTTGACCGGATTATATACGGGTTCTTTGTCATTATATACTTGTATTTTGTCATCTTATGCTGGTATTTTGTTATTATAAAGATTGTTGAGCAGTACACACGCTTTTTTGCAAAACATCAGCATATAGTGCTCAGGTATCATCATATAATGTCAATAACATATTAAAGCAGTTACGGCGTTCGAAAGTCTTGGATAGTTTCTTTGAACCTGAGCTTTGAAGTAAGCCAAACGCGAGAAGAACGGAAGACGGACATGACAAACACTGTACATGTATGCTCCCGTCATATTCACGTCGGGGCATTAAAATTACTTTAGTTCCGAAATGTGGATGTGATCAATGTTATTTGCAATCAAATTCCAGAGTTTGCAATATATGATTGGTTGTTAATTGTTTACCACCTAGCTGTAAATATTTTGGCCACAGATTGCATATGCTGAAGTTTATATAAGTACAGTCCGTGAAACGTTCTACTTTCCATTTTTCCTTTTGCTCACTGTTCACTGTTCGTTCAGCGTGCTTTCAACGAGGTTTCCACCTCGATGTTAAACAATTAACAATCTATCATATATAATAAATTCTGGAATGTGATTGCAAACAACATTGATCACATTCAAATGTTGGAACTAGGTGAACTTACATATATATCAAGGTTATTAGTATCAAGTACGATATAGTTATCTAAATATTTATCTCAAATGTAAATAAAAGATCCACAACAATGTAAAGAAAAGAATTGATCAAATATCTTTTTATAAGCCATATTTGATCATGTAACTAAATAAGTACATTTTCAGTGATTTTTCAACAAATATGTTTCCTTATAAACACAAGAGCGGTAACACAAATTTACCAAGCATGAGTGTTAGATTATCTGAAATAAAATTAATATATATTATTGTTTTGTGTCTTGCAAATACCGGTACACAGAGACAGTAAAACTGAATGTAGTTGATCCGCCTCCTAGCTCCGACCCAGAAATTGTGTTGGGACGTGGAGGACATTGTTTTGATGTGAGGAGGAAGGACAGGAACCGACCATTAATGTCAAGCAAGTGGACACTAGTGAAATTCTCATGAAGAAAAGGATAGCTATTACACACTAAAATGTGTCCCAGAACATCTGTACATAAACCACTGGGCCGGAATCCAGTCTGAGACTGAGACTGATGACCAGCGTAAGAAAACCGGAACTCTTCTGATGCGGTCACCACCATTACCTTACAGGCTTCCGAGTCAGATGTACAGATGTCACCATTGATATTCTCAGTGATGTAGTTAACACTTTGGTAAAGAGATTGTCCTTCATCATCCCACTGTATGTCCTATAACTTCCGTCCTTCTCTGTTGTATCTAGTTATTTTGTTGTCTCTATTTTTCTCCACCCGACTAAATGTGTCCATTGATAGGAGAGGAGTAGATGGCTCCAGGTTCCCAGCTCCTTGTCTGGATAAGTTTGTTGATGAACGTGTCACTAGTTACCCTGTTTACAGTGTTTTTGCTGTTATCTGTGTAAAGAAGTTCTCCTTTTGACATGACAGTGTGGTTACCTATGGTATTCCATGTAATGGTTGATATTTTCTGTAAGATGTTTCCTTCCATATCATACTGAATGAGATTCCCTAGGCCATCACCGGTCCAAAATTTATTAGGGGGCAAGGGAGACAAATGGTAAATGTTATTTCCCTGGATAGTGACGTCATTTACTTTTGTGACAGAAGAAAGCTTAAACCTTTCCAATGAATTTACTTCAATTTCACCAAAATATTTGGCTATTTCTCCTTTTTGTAATATACAGGGAGTGTAAATTGGCAGTTTAGGTTTATTTTTGTTAGGCATCTTCAGAGAAGCTAATGAAAATTCTATATAGAAGTCCATGAGTTCAGTGTGTTTTATGCATGAAATTTTACTCTCATAGTCTGAAATCAATTTTTCCAGGTACTTCATGTAGTCCTCTGTTTCTATCTGTTGTGCCACTAAATCATTTAGGACAGAGTTCTCGATCTCATCCAGTTTTTTGTTATTATCAGTCAGTATATTGTCAACAGTCTCCTTCAGTTCATCTGCTCTCTTCTTCATGGAAACTCTAAACTTGGCAATTTCTTTTTCGACATTATTTCCCTTTTCTCCAATCGAATTGACACTGTCTCTAGTCCCAGGAATTACTGTTCTCCAGATCTCATTTATTTCCCTCTGGCATTGCTGTAGAAAGTCATTGTAGATGGTTTCAAGGTCACTGAATTCATGGTCACTGTGATTTTGGGCAAAGCATATAGAGCAGATAGGATCATAACAATCATCACAGAAGACATCTAAATCTTCTGTGGGGTGGATCCTGCATTTCTCTGAAGGAAGTTTTCGTTTTCTCTTGTGATAGAGGGCAATCTCATGTCCATTGTCCTGCTCTAGATGGGGCTGTTTGCAATTGTCACAGATTCGCTGATGACAGGTATTGCAGTAAAATTCAGAGAAGTTTCTACAGGATTCCGTGTCACACTCGATGTAGTGCTGGGCTGTATCTGGTACTTGGTCCATTATTGTTATTCAAATATCTTTAAAAAAAATATTTATTATCAGATTGTAGGTAAGATGCTTAAAAATGGATATGGCTAACAATGCATGCTACCCTCTATATTTTAAAAAAAATTCTTGTAAGCTATTTTACCTTTCCTGTGATCTTGTAAATAAATCTCTTGCACACCGCCCTACAGTCGTGACTGGTGTCAGCAATCGATTATTAAAGTGTATTTACGCAATATACCAACTGCTTCAACAAAACATTTAAATCTCCATGCAGTGTTTGTAAAGGTGCAGAAGTGAAAGAGACAAAAAATGGGACTGGAATAAAACGCATTGATCTAGATAAGGTAAGCTCTGTGAAGTGGAACATTATGTCAAAGAAAAGTGTTTGGTTTTCTTTATAAATGTTTATCATAGTTAAAAGATCTGGTTTCATAATATTAATTTGTGTATATATACCTATAGTTTGCGATTTAAAAAAAAATCTATAAATCCAACAAATAACATTCAAAAATCAAAAATATAAGAGATAAAGATGAAAAATAAGACTTTTTTGATTTTACTTCCTTGCAGCCACCAAAACAAACGAAAACACACAAAAAATGATCTGTAAATATAGAAGTGACGTTCTATAATATCTAATGAGTCTCCACTTCCTATCTCTAGTCGTACTTTAGACGTGGCGCGTTTAAATGTTCATTAAACTGGAGGCAAAGTTATTGCAAGTCCTTTTGATATTTATATGGAAAATAAAATTTATCTTAAAATTACAGAGATATCTCTCATTGTAGAGAGATGTCTCTTTAAAAAGAAATATCTCCCAGCTGAAGGAGATACCTCTTAATTTTATGAGATATCTCTCTTAAAAATGAGATATCTTTTACACTATATCACTTATCCTTAGATATCTCTATGCAAGAGAGATATTTCTTCAACTTAAACAGATATCTTTTTCTCCTTGAGAGATATCTTTTTCCTGTAAAGAGATATCTCTAAACCTTTAAGACATATATATCTTTCGCTAGACAGATCACTCTTTTACCTTGATCTTCCCAAGTTAAAGAGATATTTCTCAAAGTAAAAGATATATCTCTTTTAGTTTATCGTAAGATATATCTCAAAGTGAAAGCGATATCTTTCAAACGTGTCCAAAAGAGATATCTCAAGGAAAAAAGAGATATTTCTTTTTTGTAAAGAGATATCTCGCTTCATTATTTTTATTCAAATAGTGTTTAATGACTTCTCCCTTTACCGGTAAAAAGTTTTTTATTCAAGAAAGTATATTAACGTATCTTGAAAATTCGACATATTCTACATTATAGCTTTATCAAAATGACAAGTAATTTAGTGTTGTCTAGATTTCAAATTAGTAATAATTGATTTTTTCATAAGCTCAGAAAATTCGGTCCATTGCATTTGAGATTTTCTGCATGCTTTCGTTTTTCCTGAATATATTAAATTAACTTTTAGCATGTTTATCAACGAAGTTGCCATTTTTGTGCATGTGTACATGGTACATATATTATTCTGGGTATGACATGCTCAGTCCTATTTTCTCATAGCATCGAAATTATTACGAAATTATTCCAGAAATTTTACTTCCTGTCTCGCTTTCGTGTGAAAGGGGAGAATAAATTACTCTATTTCAAGGATCACTGGAAAATATACATTTCTTTCTGTAAAAGATATCTCTATTGCTTAGAAAGATATCTTTTTTGAAATATCTTAAAAGACATATCTCTAACTAAGACAGATATCTTTTTCGATCTCATTTAAGAGTGACTTATTTTTTTTTATTTTTGCTGGAAGCTTCATCGAAAACCACTGTTGTCAAGCAAACGTCTGCACAAAATTTGATAACAATAAGAAGAAACAAGAGGCCCACGGGCCTTACAGGTCACCTGAGTATCAAGTAACAACTTTTCAACAATTAAATTTGGTTCGTCATTAAATCAGAGTGAAATCACAGTGAAATTCACAATTTTGAAAGAGGAACAATTGCTTATCATAATTATAAACTTAGCATGCTTACTCTACTTAATACCCAGAGGTAGATCAGAAAATGCACTTGCATTTTATAACCAGTTGTGCACCGCACCCCAAAGGAACCACTGACCCTGGAGCCAGATATTTCAAAATTTTGGAAATTTTATCATATTATATCTTATTTCATCATAAATGGTTGATTAATACGAAAAAGCCAGATTTCACAGCATTAATTTATTTTAGACTATGTACCCCCTCCTCTTCCTATACCCTTGATACAGGGGGCATGGAATAATAAATCATTTTGCTAGATGCACCTTTCTTCATCATAGATATATATACTTGGATCATTAGCACAATACCCAGGAGCAGAGAAGAAGATTTTCAAAAGAATTAATGCAATTTCATTATATAATCAATAGAGCTCAGCCCTATCACAGGAACCCCTGATCCAGGGGCCATAAAATTCACAATTTTGGAAGAGGCACTCTTGCTCATCATACCTATATACTTAGTTTGTTTATTTAATACCCAGGACCAGAGGAGATTTTCAAAGAATTAATGCATTTTCACTATATAATCTCTAGAGCCCCGACCTAACACAAGAACTCCTGACACTGGGGCCATAAAATTCACAATTTTGGATGAGACTCTCTAGCTCATCATAACTATGTACTTAATCAGTTTATTTAATACCCAGGAGCAGAGAAGAAGATTTTCAAAGAAATAATGCATTTTCACTATATAATCTTTTTAGCCCCATCCTAGCACAAGAACCCTTGACCATGGGGCCATGAATTTCACAATTTTGGTAGAGGACTCAATGTTTATTACATTCATGCTAACAGTTTGCCTGCTTGATGTCCAGGAGTAAAGAAGATTATTTTTAAAGATTTCATGAATTTTAGTGGTTTTGACCCCGCCCCATCGGCCCAAGGGGGGCAGGGACCATGAAATTCACAATTTTTGTTCCCCTTTACCCATAGATGCTGTATAAAAAAATGGTTGAATTGGTTCAGTGGTTTCAGAGAAGAAGCTGAAAATGTTAAAATGTTAACACACTACACACGACGGACGACGACGAACGATAACGGATAGCAATAGGTCACCTGAGTGACTCAAGTGACCTAAAAAGAGGAAACAGTGGAGTCACTTAAAGTCCCCCATGAAAACGAAAGACTTTTATAATGATAACTAAAGTAACTGCTAATTGCAAGGGGAACAATTACAGATGGTCCCGAGACGGCTCACCACTCACTGTGACCCATTTCCAACAAGGGGAATTAAATTTGACAACACTTTTTATTATAAGTGTAAAATTGATTTTTTAAAGTATGTTATTGAAAAACTTCGATCTCTAATACTGCCGTATGGATAAAAGCTATTTTAATCCCGGAGTATATGAGTGTTTCTGGATTTTTTCAACACAAAATGTAAAATGTCAGATACATGTATCTGTCAACAATTCTTGCTTCATTCATGAAATCAAATCCCCATGAATCCGTAATTTTTCTCAATTAAACCAGGTACATTTGACCCCACGAAAATATGTTATCTAACAGTCCTTTTCTATGCTGTATTTTGGGCGCTCTTCCATATAAAACCGCATTTACATACATGCGCCCGTGAAATTCTGTCATGGGAATATTCCGTTTATTAGATAAAATGCATACATGTAGGTATATCATTCTGTACAATACAATTATAAGTTAGATAGAATACTAAAATCTCAAAAGTATTGAATTTTATTTCAGATATTCCTGACAGTTCGAAAACAATTTTCGTACATATATACCGGTACATGCTGTTTTATGTTTATGAAACAAATCGATAAATAATATCATGAGAGACATGTGAAAATTGCGATAAAATGTTTTTTCTTTTAATTGCAGGAATGGTCAACACTTAATCTACAATTTTACACAATTACATTAAATAAAAGTAGGTATTTAAGGTAGGATTCTTTTCTGGTTTCCGACTAGATTGAATATTCAAAGTATATTTGTTGATATGTCATATATATGTAGATGTTAGAGATTTAAAAGACCACAATTTTTCTTTCCTCATCACAATTATACAACTTTAAACTTTGAAAACTAGCAGGGACTATATTTTTGGCGGAATGGTGGCGTATGAAAATATCTTCTTTTCTACCTCTCAAAATTATAATACAAAAACGAATTTAGTTATAACTTTTACACAGTGAAAGACTTGAAGAAATTTTCAAATGTAAGTTAAATTAATAATAAATTACTAAAGTTTCAAAAATATATCAAATAAACAAGAATTTTCACACATACTAGAACTATGTTGTCTTTTAAATGCTTCAAATCTAAGTAAACAATTGAGCTAAAAATCCGTAAAAGTGTTATTTCTCTCTTAGTAAACGATCAAAACTTTTAGTTTTTGTATCATTTGTACCTTTATGTGACAACTTTACTATATGTGAAAATTAAACAAAAATTAAATATAGGAAGCATATAAACATAACTACGTGTAATAAATCCTAAAAATTTAAGAAAAGTACATGTAATTCGCATTATACAATATTCATTTCATTTAAATTAGCAATG